AAGAAGACAAAAGTGCCTGTTTCGAACAGGCACCATGTGTATAACGCGGGCCACTGTTATTATTGCCGTTTTGAACTACGGTCAGGACGGACTTGCGGACGACTGTTTTTTTTGCCCATTCAAAACGTGGGTTGTGACCCACAAGCCGTTGCCCCCAAAAAAAAGATTGATCCATTGATTGATTAAGGAAAAAATAATTTWAAAAAAAATGACGCCCCGTACCTTCTTTTTTTTTTTTCGATTGATTGATTGGTTGGGAGAGGGTGCTAACAGGACTATGGGATGGACTGTCCGTAGTCACGCGACTGCGGTAGTCGGGGGAGGGTCGGGGCTGACCATAGTGATGACTGCGGTAGTCGGAGATTTGTTGGTGGCGAGTCCGTCTTCATTTTCATCATTTTCTATCATCTGCTGTGTTTTTCACTTGACCACAGTTAACTTCCACTGGTTAAGGTGGGTCAATTTTAAGGAAGCTGATGTTTGATGATGAGTATACAGCTTGTCTTGGCTTTGTCCTGATCGCTGTTTACTGCCTGCTTTGCGTGCGTTGGCATGCTTTGCGTGCGGTCTTGTATCATCCTACTACCTAAGGTCATAACCAACTAGGAGTTTGTACCTAGCGGAGGTGGCGGCTTATGTGAAGACGAGAGAGACGACGAGAGAGAGCTTCGACAGACTGAAAGTGTGTAGTTGGATTCGTGAACTGAAGGGAGAGTGGGAAGAACGGTCAAAATGAGCGAGGAGGGAGAATCTAGGCGGGGGAATGAAGGGGGTGGTTCGTTACCACCGGATGGACGAAAATGTTACAAGTGTGGGGAGAGCGGACACTTCGTCCGGGACTGTGCCGAATATTGGAGAGTACGAGCGCAGGGGAGGACTTTCGTTCCATTGAGATTACGGACAACGCAAACAAGAACTGGTAGCACCAATACGAGCGGCGAGTATATGAATTCGCGTCGGAGCCGGTCGACAGACAGTGGGAACGAGCGTAGCATGGAGAATACCGATTCGCTCATACGGGATAAATTCTTACAGGTGGCCGAAGAAAGGAGGGAGAGAGTTGAATGTGAAAGAGAGATCGAGAGAAGGAGGCTAGAAGAGGAAGTAAAACGAGCCAAGGAGTTAAAGAGAGCGCTAAGAGAAGAACAAAGGCTTCAACGGGAAGAGGAACGAGATGCCCGCCTGATGCGGATCATTCGTGGTGAGATGAGAAAGGAGCGTGAGGAAGAAATTGAGCGGTATGAACTCAGAGGAGGGAGATCAAGTAAGACAACGAGTCGTGCTGATGCAAACAACGAGGAGAAGGAAAGCCTTCGAAGAATGATTGCATTGAAAACATTGGGAATGGAGGAAACTGAGGACGAGGAGCTGCTGGCGCTTCCAAGGCAAGCAGCGAAACTGGATCTTCTGGAAAAAAGGAAGCGGGGTCCAGACATAGCGGTGGGGGATAGTCCACCGATGACTACCCCGGAGAAAAGATCGAACACGAAGTTATCGGAGGAGGCTAAGGCGAGGATTCAATCGATTAAGGGAGAACAAGCGAAGGAGGTCGCAACATCAAGCACACCATCGAAGATAGACTTGTCATTGAAACACATCATGGCATCCTGCGGACCAGGAGGGCGAGAGACATTCGAGAAAGAACGTCAAGACTTCTACGACGCGCTAAACATTGAAGAACTAAAGGAAGCGTGCCGCCGCGAGAAAGTGGCATATGGTAAGCGGGAGTTGGCAATTAAGCGACTGATCACTCGTCGTTCGGTGGTGGCATATGATCCCTCGAACATTCCACTACCTGTGACGCCACGCACTACGACAAGGACGAGTAAGGGCGTGGCTATTAAGGAGGAAGCCAGACCCGTGAGTTCAGAGTCGGACGATTCATTCTCGGATGATGACTCCGAGTGAGGAGCTTGTCGTCGCGACGACTTTCTGGATAGAGCGAATGAGTTGAGTAATCGAAGACAGGCGAATCAGGGTAAGTGCAGATCTGATGAGAGGGAATTTAGAGCAGCCACGATTGGACTGATACTGACGGGTAGGGCGAGATGGGGTGAAAAGTTTGTGGGATATTGGAAGGATGAATTGGATAGGGGGACCTTTGACTTAACAGAACCAAAGAGTTGTGTATATGTCCTACTATCGTCGTGGCATAAGCAAGTTTATATTGGTTTGACGGAGAGGAGCCTCTGGGCAAGATGGCAGGAACACCTCTGTCAAGGGCGAAAGCAGAACAGGCGAGGGAGGACCGTATATAACTGGTTTGGTAAAGTGGGTGCACATAAGAATGAACATAGTATTCGTGAAAACCTAACAAAACCAGAAAACCTAACATTTTTTATAGAATGAAAAAGTGAAAGTCAAACTTTTATTTTTGACACATAAAAGAGAGCGTTTTTAACTGTTTCCCGAGAAAGGAGGCAAAAAAACTGGCAGAAAATCCAGCGGTTCTCAAAATGTGCAAAAAAATATTTTCCAGCAAAGAGCATGTTATAGGACTATTAGTCGTTCTTAGTAGATTGAAAAAAAACATAGCTCAAACAAGACAATCTTAAAGGTCTTCATGGCGAACTCGAAAGATGTTAAAAAAAACAGTTTCAGTGAATACTCATTTATAGAACTGTAAGTCGTTTTTTGGAGTTTGGTAAAAACCAGATTCGAGGAAACCGAGTTTATAGAACTATAAATTAATATAACTCCATTTTTAAGATAACTGTAAAACCCTTGTCAAAAAATATATGTTATGTAAAAGAAAAATTCAAACAACTTTTGCCTAGGAGACATCTTCAAATTCTTAGCCAACCATAATTTAAAATTAAAAAATAGAAAATTATTAAATAAAAAACACTAAAAGTTAATATATTTGTCCATGTATGAGATAACATATCAAAGCAAATGTATTCGTGAATAGGAGAGCATGTGTGCGTGTTTGGGAGACCCCCGAATAGGTTCGTCGTGCTACATACTTGATAGAACTATAAATATGATTTTTTCACATAGACAAAAAATTGGGATAATTCGGTGCCTGAACAAACGGTGCTTTGCAAGGTAGTGATTTTTTGTAAAAAACCTTGCTTCTCTCCTCATCACTTATTGTGGTTCTGAAAAAGTACTTTCCTATTCTTTTTTTGCGGTTAATTTACTTCACATAAAATTTTGTTCGTGTAGGAGGTCTGAAAAACGTACTATCAGAATCCTTAAAAATTTTCGTGCAAACCTAACAATGTTTTTTGTTAGGTTTTCACGAATACTATGTTTATGTTGCCTTGCCGTTATTCACCAGCAAAGATAGGAGGCGGTGGAATTAACTCTCATCAAGCATTGGTCACCATCGCTGAACGTGCGATCGATGAAATCAAGGAAGGCAACGAAAAAGTCGAAGCATCGGCCAGGGAAGAGAGAAAGGAGGAAATGGACAGGGGAAGGAGATGATAGATCGAATGGCTATGAAGTAGATCGTGGGAGACTGCTAGAGATACGTGTAGAAGGAACGGAGAATAGTACTGTACGGATCGTTGACCTGTTCAGAGGGTTGACAAGACGCAAGGGAGACTTCACGATACTGAGCAATGGAGGGACGGTATGGGCAGATGGGTGRAAAGTGGTGAGAAGGCTCTTCGGTGAGACTCGGGTMAAGTTCAAAYGAGGAACTAGACCGCTGAGAAGATRTAAAAAGTTGTTTAAAACTAAGGGGGTGAACGTACTCCAGAAGGTCACCGAATCGTCACCTGCCTTGTTGGCACTGAAGGAGGAGATRGTGTTGATGTTCAGGAACTGTCGCAAGCAGAAGGATCTCTATGYGAAGGGGTTGACRGAACTCGTCAGGTACTATAGTGCAGTAAAGACGTTTACTACGAAACGTAGTAGATCTCAGGCACGATGTATGATTTTGAGGGTTATTCGTGATAAGTTTGGTATTAATGTGAGAACACGAATCATTGTGAAAATGGAGTACGATGAAAGGATTAAAAAAAGTGAAGTAATGAGAGYGGTGAGGAGGAAGGTYGGAAGTTTGAAGATGGAAGTAGCTYTGAAGGAAATGGTAAAGCGTCGGGCACGGGTTGTTTGGAAAAAGGGCCCCAGCGTAGGGGATATTMTGCACAACCATCGACGATATGCGTCGATTCGTGCTTCCAGCTGTGTGTGTGCTGGTATGCMCTACCCCATGAAGGATGGGCACAGRCATTTCCGGATTAGCGAGCTTGAGGACGCTCCGAAGATTGTAAGAAACGCAAAGAATATCCCAAGAGACGAAGACTGTAACAGGGAGAAAGTCTTGATGGAAGAATTGACTGAGGCATTCTGTTTGTRGGGAGAAGGTATGAAGCTTCCGAGAGACGGACTCGCTTGTACTAAGGAAGAGGCTAAGTCATGCTTTGTTAAGCGTCAGAACAGTATGATTGAGGATGGGATGGAGGTGGTGCTGTCACTAAGAAAGAAGTTGGAGGGTCTGGTCCGTGTGCCGCTGGACCGGAACCCAGGKRACACACTGGTGCTGTGCCCAAGAGTGTACGAGAAGGGAATGGAAGACACCTTCATAATGAGTGACTGTTACCGCCTGTGCTCCGCGGACGAAGGACAGCTGCTTGGTTCGGCGAAACGGGAGTACGAGAAAAGAGGTCTAACGACCCATGGGAAGTGGGACAATAAGGGCAAATTGGGGAGTGCGTATGCGCTGCCCAAACACAAAGATACCGAAAAGTATCGTCCAATCTGCCCCACCTTCAATGAGCCGACGGTCAGAGCTTGCAAATTGGTGGCAAAAGGGATTAATGGATTACTGTTTGCTTTGCCAGAATCCGGGCACCTTAATTTGAGGTCGGTATCCGGTATGAAAGACAGAGTAAAGCAACTGAATAACAGATTGGGGAAGAGTAGGAGGAATGCTGGGATACTGGGAGCATCTTTCGATATTAAAGATATGTTTAGTCGCCTCCATCATGCGACGATCAGATTTGCAATCGAATGGGTCGTGTGGTGGTTCTCGGAAAAGGGTTTTGATGGGATCTTTRTTCAAAAACGAGGGCGAGGTGCTAGACTGAGTAAGAAGGGGCATGTGGAAGGTTGTGTTTTTGTTTCCTTCAAGTATATTGTGGATTTTGTGGAATTTGATTTGGAATTTTGTTTTAYGAAGGCATGTGGGATTTTACTGCAACAGAYGGTGGGCATACCTATGGGGAAGAGCTCGAGTCCCCCATTGGCATGCCTCATGTGTACAAAGAGTGAGTGGGATTTTCAGATCTCGTTAGGGAGTCAGAAGAGGGCATTTGGTGGGATGAGATTCGTGGATGATGTATCTGTATTTGCTGCCTATAATAAGAAGAAAGCGGRTGATAAGGTAAAGGCACAAAGAACCCGGGAGCTATTCAAGGAATGCTATGACAAGGCCCTTACCCTTAAACAAACGAATGAGGGAGGGGACAATTGGACTTTTCTGGGCTGCAGACTGACCATCTGTTAGAAATTTCCTTTTCTTGGAACAATGCAAATTTCAAAAAATGAGCAACAACCAAGGGAAGGGAAGATACTTCCATTTCAGTCCTTTCAAGATTTCCATTCATGGACGAGTAAGAGAGCGAAAATGACAGTAATTATCAGTGCGCTACATCGCTAAGAACATAATTCCTGCATGGGATTCGGGTTGGTGGATTTCATTCTGTTGCTGAGATTGGAACTGAGAAAATGCAACTTTCCTGGGCGTTGGTTTGAGCGGGCCCTGAGGAATTTCAGCAGGGACAAGAATGCAGTTTGGAAGACGATTGCTCTACTTCTCACGGAGAGAGATTGGACGTAGTTTGTTAGATAGTTTAGAGTAAGTTCGATCAGGAGATAGGTTCGTAGTGTAGTTTGGTGGTGCGTATATGTGGACCAGGGCTTGCCCTCTGTGATTCGTTTGGTATTATAGCATAGTAGTATATGTAGTCGGACACTCTGGGTAGAACATCGTACAGTATGCAATGAATGAGGACCACGTTGAGGACCGGGCACCAGGATGATTTGTCCGACTGTTTTTCAGACTGTTCGAACACCCCGTTTTTTGGACTCGATATCTGCGCCTTGGCGCAGTATGGGGCAGGCTCCGAGTATGCTGGTTTTTTATCCTAGGCTGTCCATTGCGAGTAGTACGGAAGTGTTGATTCGGTTGACGGTCGGGTTAAATAAAAGGTTTTTTGAGTGTTTTTTCCTCTTTCGCCGGAATGGCGCTAACAGGACTATAGGATGGACTGTCCGTAGTCACACGACTGCGGTAGTCGGGGGAGGGTCGGGGCTGACCGTAGTGATGACTGCGGTAGTTGGAGATTTGTTGGTGGCGAGTCCGTCTTCATTTTCATCATTTTCTATCATTTGCTGTGTTTTTCACTCGACCACAGTTAACTTCCACTGGTTAAC